AAAAACTTTTATATATATATATATATATATATTTAAAAATTTTTTGTTCTTTTTTTTAGGTTGGGTCGGGTTGACCCGACCCAACCTAAAAAAAAAACTAACTAAAAAATGTTAAAATATATATATATATATATATATAAAAGTTTTTATTAATTAATTAGGTGAGTTAGTTTAATTTATGATTAATGAAGTTAATTAATTTTAATTAAAACAAATTAATCATATTCTTGAAAATTTAATTTGAGATAATTAAATTTATTTGATTATCTTAATTAAAGATGAGTAAATGTGATTAATTAATTTTAATTAATTCTAATTAATGTTAAGTTAATTATTTAATTAGATTAATTATCTCAATTAATAAATTTCAATTTTCAATTAACTTTAATGTTGGTCATGGTTAAAATTATCTTCGTCTATTTTTAAATTTTACCCAAAACTTTTATAATTAAGCAATTCCGTCCATGGGTTTCAACTCTTTCCAAATCAATTCTTCATGTTTTGAATCTTAATCAAATCAGTCCTTCATGTTTCAAATTTAATCAAATTAGTCCCTTTAATTTTATTCGTGCTTATGATGCATGCTTGTCTTTGATTTTGTCCATTTTAGCCCAAAAATTAAAAAAATGTTTCAATTTGGTTTCCCTTCTTTCAAACTTACCTATTAAGACTCAAACATAAACACAACGAGTAAGTTGAATCAAAACCTCAATGTTAAAGTATGCAACCGTGTTTAAACTTAGGATTGTGAGGTGTGCGTATGCCCTTCCTCACTCTTAACCGAACCCCCGAACCTCAATATCTGCGTAGACCCGTTTTAGATGACTTGTCCCACCTTATAATTTGGACGAGTGGCGACTCCCTTCTTCTTTTATATTTTTCACACTTAATAGTGATAAATCTTGATTTTCAATTTATTTTGAAAAAATCTAAAGTGGTCGTCAACACCCATACATTGTTACAAGAAGCAACAACATTGGCAGTAACACCAATTCCTTTTATGCTATGATTTGGCCAGTGTATAGGTTTGTAGTTTGGGATAATATTAGGACATGCAGTTAGTCCACACTAGGAATTTTTTTTATTTGATTAGATGGGTAAGCACCATCTGTTGTAACATTCCACAACAATTGAAGAACACAAAGGATCCTTTTATCAATAAACTTAAGATAATTTTTGTAGTTTTCTAAATGATAGTTGAGAAAGATTAGGGCTGTATTACGATCTATTTGAATAAATGGTTGAGGAAATGAAGTAGCTCTCCATTACCTTGTTGCTATCATTGTGCATGTGTATATGCTAGTTTCTCATTGTTTAAGCATGAGCTATCCACAAAAACTCTTATTTACTATAACAGAGTGAAGAAATCTCACTAGTTGTGCTCCTTGTATTTTAGAGAATTGGTTTTGCAACAATTGCAACTATGGTCTGTATTTATGAAAGTCTATGATTCAAACTTTAATAAAGATAAAGAGAAAAAAGAGAGGGCTATTTATATTATAAACCCACTATCAGTTAAAACAAGAACATCGTACCCTTATATTGTTATAAAATTATACATGTCGTCAAAAGATGTTGGCAAAAGATGGCTAATAGTGTTTTTTATTTTTTATTTTTTTTGGGTCTAACCACCCAATAATTAGACCATGAAATTTTAGACTTGAAAGCTACAAAGTTCTAATTGTTTTGAAATAGGTAGAGAAGGATTTGACAAAAAGAAAAGAGTGGTATTCCCTATTGCATAATGTTAACTAAAATTATATATAGGTGGTGTTTGTTTTAAAGTTTTGAAAACAACCATTAGTTATTAGCTCTAATTAAATGAATTAGATACTTTGTAGTATAAAAAAAATACTTAAATACACTAATAATCAAACCTTAAATACCTTGCCTTTAGAATAGCAAACCAAACTATGTGCTCCAACTAACTAAACATGTTATCTTCTCTTTCTTTTTTCTATAGCTGCCACCTTCTTTTCTTCTACTTTTCTCCCTAGCCTTCATCTTTCTCCCCTTTGATGGCTACGGATAGAGAGGTGGAGCAAAGGAACTTTCTCATAAGCAGCGGTTAAGCAAAGGAACCCTTTCATATAACAAAAAAAAAAAAAAAAAGTCTTACATATTGTTTCCTCAAAAATCCTTAAGTGGCTTCGTACGTGTGAAATCTGAATGCAGGTGTGTTAGTTACTTTTTTAAAAAGAAAGAAAAAAGGATTCTCCCAATGACCCTCTTCTTCCACACGGTCGACCTCTGTTAGGATAGCTGGAAGAATGTTGGTTTAAGATTGAGTTTTGCACCCTTCAGATGATTTGCAAGAGGGAGGGATGCCTTCCTGCAAAATGGGTTGCTAATCTACTTTGGATAATTTCAAGGACTTTACCACTACGGTGAATTTAATTTAATAGATCCAAAATGAATTGAATGAGATGCGAAGTAAAATAAACTTGATGTTTATTTGCATGAAAGGAAATCAGAGAAGCAATTACACAAACTAATTTGGGTACTTGAATGCTGTAAACAACTTAAATCTACTAGAATTTATGCTAAAATGAAATATGAAAGCTAAGATGAACAATCACTACGAAACTAAAGAATTGAAAAATTGATAAGTTTCTGTGTAGGGTTCGCCGTGTCATGAAAAAATTTAGAAAGCTTCTATTTATATGCTTCTTGCGAGCTGTCTCTTGGTTGATAAGATCATAGATAACCTTCTTCCAAATTCTAGGGATTGCTGTTCCTTTTAAATGTAAGCTGCAACAAACTGGATAAACTTTATCTTCTTAACGAACTTTACAGATATGTATCATGTCAGTGAAGTTAATATCACTTATCCATTGACACGTGACATCATTTAAAAAATGCAATTTATGGTGTAAACAATGCCCCCCAACAGTTGATTTTATGAAATAAATTCAAGTGTTTATAATTAAATAAATTGCATGCAAACTCCCGCCACCAATGCCACATGTTAAACAACTCTAAGGTTTGAAAGAAGAGATATCAAACCTTGAAGCCAAGCTTGTAGAACTAAATGAATAGATTCCCTTTATGGAATAGACAGAAAAGAGCTTGGCAAAACAACGTAGCAAATTTCTTGCAGATATAGAGGCAGACTTGAACGTAATTTCTAAAATCAAAGATCAATTTTCCTTTTTCATAGCCTTTATTGGATACTTGATCTAGAGCATGTTGAAATCTGACACGGTCATAACTTAGTCGTTATGATTGCTCACGGCCAAATTTGGCCAGCTTACAAATTTAGATTAGCACCTTTATTGAAATTCAAAAATGCTCAATTGGAAAAAGAAAATACTAGGCAATTTCACCCAAATTTGACTCATCCAGAATTCGAAATATCCAGATTTACTTCCTCCATAGTAACCACATCTGTCAGATTTTCCTCTTCACCTTCGTGAACCACCTCATATCTATCTACATTGATCCACTTTTTTGCAAGATAAGCCTCTAATTTCCTTTTAATCTCTTCCACGGCCTCCTTCTTTTGGTGATTGGTTCGCTGTCTCTTCATGGAAATTTTTCAATTTCTGGTTCCTCCCTCAACCTAAAAGGAACAATTGTTGTAGGCCGAAGGAGTTCATCACAAACCCTCTTCACTGTGTGTCTAGTAAGTGCTGATCTAGTACTGGCAGTTATTCCAACTGGTCTGCCATTACGATCTATGCCAAAGAAACGGATGGTCCTGATTTCTTCATCTTAATAATGAGCTTCTATCAAATTGGTGTTAGCCACAAAAGGTTTGTCATCAACTTTCACGACCTTAGTTTTGTCGCTATTCTAGAATACAAATTTCTGATGCAAAGTTGAAGGAACACACCAGCTAGAATGGATCCAACCTGTCCCAAGTAATGCATTATAAGTGGCTACAGTGTCAACCACAAAGAATGCACACATGAGAGTTATATTTCCCACAGTGAGCTCCATTGGCAGAATTCCCCTTGCACGATTTAGTCCACCTATGAAGTCGCTGAAGTCACTGATTGTCACTTTTGTCTCCATCAGATCTTTCAAAGATTTGCCAATCTTGTGTAACATACAAGTTGACAACACATTGATAGCAGCACCATTGTCCACCAAAACTTGATTAACTAGCATCCCATCCATGTGAGCATGAATGCATAATGGCCTTATATGTTTGGCCATCCTCTCTTCTAGCTTTTCAAAAATAATTTTGTTTGTTGAAATTTCATTTTCATCCTCCTTTGTAGGGATCTCAATAATTCCTTCCTCAGTTTGATTTGCCTGTTGATAACCTATAGATTCTAGTTTTTCTTTGGCTTGGAAGACTAAAGGAAGGATAAGCAGCAAACAAGACAAATTCATAGAAAACTCACCAAATTGGATGTTTTCTTGTTTTGCTGAATTCTCCATTTCTTCTCTCACATTGAATGTTACTTTTAAGCCAGTTTCCTCACTTGTCTCCATAGTCAGAACTTGGGGAGAAGTTGGATTTCTAGGCTGTTTTTCATCTTCTGGTATTGTTTGACTTAATGTCTTGTTTTTGTCTTTTAGGACCTAGACTGATTTCATTCTTGTTGGGAGTGGCTGAGCCAGATCTGCCATGCCCCCCGAATTCTCCATCTGCTGTCGGCAGCTCTCTTCTGCTATTTTGCGTTGTAAGTGCCACCTCAAAGTTTTGGGATTTTGAGCCTTAGGAAACATGGGATGAACCACCCGTTCCCATTTCTGGCTAGGAGATCTGAGCGGTGATTTCACCATTCTGGATCCTCCTTCATAGCTAGATTTCACAACACTCTGACTTGGACCAATTTTTCGTTGCTTCAGATCATGCCCCTCGTGGTTTCTTCCTCGTGGAGGATCTAATATGGCTTGATCTTTACGACTTCTGGCCTCCTTAATGACCCATCTCAAGTCATCAGCTGCAAGTCTGCGCTTGGAGTATGATTGATTTCTATCCTTAATAAGGCTTCAGAGATTTGTAACGTTCACTCTGACGGACAAGTCGGGGAATGGGTTTGCATCAATTCCCATGGTTTCCTTAGCCTTTTCTAGAAACCGCAAAATTCCTTTGTCAATCTTTTCTTGCAACTGTTGTTGATTTCCCAACTCTGCCATACATGATGCAGCCTTTATTGGTTCTAGCTGCACTGGCCCACCAACTATCGGTTGGTTTTGTGGAGGCAGATGTGGCTGATTGACTTGCTCCCCAAGCATCAGAGCCGGTGGATTCTGGATCTGCCTGTGAGAATCCACTACTTGGGCTAGCAATGGTACTTTTGATATGGGCTGATGCACCTATTCAACCACTTGATCTAAAATAACTTGCAATGTTCTGCGGCTTTCATCCCTAGTTTCTCTCTTTGCTTTAGTGCCTTTCTCAAAAACTCGTCTTAGTTCAACCATATATTGTCTTATTACTTCTTCTTGATGTCTGGAAGATTCTGCTTGACTCTCGAAGGGTTTCCGTATATCCTAGTTCTGCTCTTTGCATGCTAATTTCAGATGTTCTGTCAAATTTCTGATCACATTATTTGATTCAGCAAAGGCACCTTCATGATTTGCTTCTTTCTCCTTGAATATTGGATTACTATAGGACCGTTCTACTAGAGGTGACACTGGGAGAAAAGTAATGGGATCATTTTCACCCTCAGAGTGGAGTGGACTATCATCTACATGTTTGGCTTGTGGTGGCATAACAACACCTCTTTTTGCATGCAGAAAAAGTGGATCTAAAAATTGTGAGTGAGACATGGTGAGGTCCCACTAGGTGTGCCACAAAAGGATTGTTTCCTAAAAAATCCTCAAGTGGCTTCGCACGTGCGGAATCTGGATGTAGGCATGCCACTTACTTTTCTAAAAAGCAAGAAAAAAGGATTTTCCCAACGACCGTCTCCTTCCATGCAGTCGACCTCCATTAGGATGGCTGGAAGAACGTTAGTTTAAGACTGAGTTTTGCACCCTTCAGACGATTTGCAAGAGGGAAGGATGCCTTCCTGCAGAATGGGTTGCTAATCTGCCTTGGATAATCTCATGGACTTTACCACTACTATGAATTTAAGTTAATAGATCCAAAATAAACTGAATGAGATGCAAATTAAAATAAACATGATGTTTATTTGCATGAAAGAAAATCAAAGAAGCAATTACACAAACTAATTTGGGTACTTGAATGCTGTAAACAACTTAAATCTACTGGGATCTATGCTAAAACTGAAATATGAAAGCTAAGATGAACAATCACTACAAAACTAAAGAATTGAAAAATTGATGAGTTTCTGTGTAGGGCTGGCCGTGTTGTGAAAAAATTCAAAAAGCTTCTATTTATATGCTTCTTATGAGCTGTCTTTCGATTGATAAGATCATAGATAATCTCCTCCCAAATTCTAGGGATTGTTGTTTCTTTTAAATTTAAGCTACAACAAACTGAATAAACTTTATCTTCCCAACCAACTTTACAAATACGTATCCCTTCAGTGGATTTAATCTCACCTTATCCATTGACATGTGGCATCATTTAAAAAATGCAATTTATGGTGTAAACACATATATAATTTGGTTTTTTGTAATTAGGTTACACTTTTTAGTTTTTTTTAGTTATTTTACTTTTGTAATTAATATTATATTTTTGATAAAATATAATAAATTTAGGTTTTATACATTACTTTAATTTCTAAATATCAATGATTACTAAAAAATGTAAAAAAAATCAAGTCTAAAATTACAACTTAACTAAATGACTTGTGACTAAAAGCCTTGTAAATGGTGCATATTTAGACTTGGCAAACATGTCGGATTAGGTCATCTCAGATCTCGAGTTATTCAAATTGGGTCATTTCGAGTGTTGGGTTAAAGGGGTAGACCCATGACCCATCCACACTGATCTTAGATTGGATTGGGTGGACCCAATTTCTAAAAAATTAAAATTAAAATTAAAATTTTTTATATTTTTCTCTATTTTTCTTTAATAAAGTCTAATATTAACTAACTATGTAGTTAGAAAGCTTTAGTAAATACCAATTTTAGTAAACGCTAATTTTCATTTCATGATTCAATATTTATTCCAATCTCAAAAATAGAAAAGGGAAAGATTATTGATTATATAGATAGAACTAAAATATATGTTAAATATATAATGCCTAAATAATATTTATAATTTATAATTTCATAAAGGCATTAACCTTCATTAAAAAAAGATACATGAAGAATTATAGTTCAAAAGACAAATCCAATATATATATATATATTAATATCTAGTCCCTATTCAATATTTATAAGGGTATTATATAAAAAATACAATTCTATTCAATATTTAGAAGGATATTATACAAAAAATAGTCCTATTTAATATTAAAGTTCAAAAGGCAAATCCAAAATATGTCTAAACAAATACAAGAAGAAATTGGATTGGGATTGATTTTTATTAACTAGGAAGAAATTATTAAGTAAGAACAAATTAACAACTAAGGATGAACCTTTATATTTTTTATGTTGTTTTTGTGCTTCTAATGGTGATGAAAGTACCTCAACCATTAGGTTTTGATTTTCATAGGTATTCTTGCTTTCTATTTAAAAATAAAAAATCTTTTTGATAGTGTCACAGCTCATTATATACCACCTAATCTAATTTTTGATATGAGTGCCACAAAAGAGAAAAGTTAAAGAGCTTCAAATGAAGAAAGGAAGAGCAAGAGTGGAGAAGAGGAAAAGTTGAGAGACTGAAATTGATAGGAGGTTAAGGTTTGGATACTTTATTTATTTTTACTTTTAAAATTAAAAAATTAGAAATTTAAAATTAACTTTAAGTAATTTAATAAAAAATTAATATAAAAAGTTCAAGTTATTTTGGATGATCTAATTCATCCGTGAGTCAATCCATTTGAATTTGAATAATTTTAGTTTAAATCATTTTAAATTTCAAAATAATATCCAGGACACATTACTCATATGAATTGGGATCATTTTTGAATTGAATCCAATTTTACTTGGTGTAATATTAAAGGTGCACTCCTAATGCCGAATTCAAACTTCGAACCCCCCCTACAAAAAGTTATAATTATTTTAAAAAGTAAAATAAAATAAAATAAAACTACACGTCTTGTCGTGATCAAATGTCACATTGAGGAGCAGGAAAGCAAAACCCCAAGCTAGCATTTCTTTTTTGTTTTTTTTTTTTTTATCTATCTGTAAGAATTTTTTTTAACGGTAAAATATATATTAAGATGGAAACCAAAGGGTCCTCCCAATCCAGATACATTTTTAGTTTTTTTTCTTTTTAATAATTCGCGACGCCAGATAGCATTGAAACATTCAGCAACCTTTTAAAAATCAGTATTTCACAGGAGTTAAAACTTGTCAGTCCAATAACATTTCACAGGACTGCCCACCCAGCACTACATTTCGTTAACCCTTTTTATGTACATGTAAGATTAAAAAAAAAAAAAAAAGGAAGTATAAGAATCAGAACATTAACTCCACGTTTAGGCTGAGGTGGCGTGCTTGAATGTTCCAAGTTATGACCAGTCAGCCACCCTTTCACCTTCATCTCAAGCCACCACCAGATCTCATTCTCCAATTATGATAAAGTATAAGAACATATTCTTTAGAATTTTCCTAGTTGCATGTGGTTTTTAATGAGCCTACAAATTTGGTTCAACTTCTGTAAATGATGTTTTTTTTTTCAATTTTATACTGCACTTAAGTGGTTATAAAAACACAAAAAAGAAGAAATCACCTCGCTCTTCGAGCTAACTGACAGCCTGTCAGGTTAAGGTGCATTCCCCCTCCCTTATGGACATGTTTCAAGCCCGTTCCTTGATAATTTGTTCAAAAAAAAAATTAGGAAATAAAGAAAAGATAGCTTGCTGATAAAAGAAAAAATGAAAAAAGGAAAGAAGTGCAGAGGAAAATTTACAGATCTAATTAGAGGTAGAGAAGCCTTGGGTGGGTCTTGTATGAATCATTTGGATGGAGATTAAGAATATGGCTGCCCAAACAAGTGCAAAGAAAAGCATAAAGAAACAAATTTAGCCCAAGAAGTGCCTTTGAAAAAGAGCCTGCAATTCTAAAGTGAGGTGGGGGGAGATCTTAGAATGGTATAAAGCAAATGTTTGTTTCTTTTGGATCTGCTCTGTTCCACCAATTTGCCTCTTTATTCTACATCGTTAGATTGCCACTGTAGCACTCCTGCAGTTAGTTCTAGGTGGTCCATGGATTCTCTCTGACCGGTCATACCTATTAAAGAAAACAATATCCTCCTTTTCCTAATAAGAAAGAAAGCAACAGCAATGCAACTGCTATGCTTAGGATTACTAATAAATTTGTTAAATTTATTAAAATTATTGAATTTTTATTTTATTTTAATTATTAAAAATAGTTAATAATTAATAAAATAATTAATATTTATTATTAATAAATTAAAATCAATTTATAAATAAATATGTTTAAATAATTTAACTAATTGTTTAAAAAAAAAAACCTTTAGCTCAATGCAACAAACTACTTAAGAGATTTATTTATTTTTTTTGGGCTAACAAAGAAAACACCTCTTTATTATCTAAAACTTTTGAAGGGTATTCTGTTATTATAATTGAATCTACAATCATTATACCAATTTAGTCATGATTTTATCTTAAGATAACAAAAAGCACAAATAGAGATTTTCAATTTGTTTCATAATATATTAAATATATATATATATATATATATATATATATATATATCCAGTCTTGCTATAGCTCAGAAAAAGGCTAATACGCTGATTGAAGAAAAATGCATCAATTCGAGTTTGAAATGACATTTTTACTAGCAAGGAAATAGATGATTAAAAAAGAAGAGATCCCTAATTAATGACAAAAATGTCATTTTCAATCCAAACTAACATGTTTTTTTTACTGTGTTTCAGATTGAAATTTTTTTTTTCTAATTAGAACATTAAATAAATTTGGTTTCCAAAATAATCGAACTTGTCACTTCTAAAAGCTCATCCACATATAGCCTGAGCCAACATAAGCATACTAAAGCTTTTCTTGAACCTATAGATCCATGGTGGAATGCACACATAGGAACGGTCGGGTGACGTGGCAAGGAGACTGAGTCCAAACTCCAAAGAGCATTGCCTGGCTTTATTTTTGTAGACAAAAGCGGGGCAATGATTGGGATGTAAGGAAACAAACAAGAAAGATACTTCGCTTCTCAAGGGTATTGTTCCAATAACTTTATTCATCCCTGTCAGATTCCCTAGTAACAGCCTTAATTTACTCAGATTGCAGGCTAATGATTTGGATGAACTAAAATTCCTCTATATGTTGGGCCCTCTGTGCGCTTTATGCTTTAGCAGGCTTATACCTACAGGGAATCAGAAAATGGAACAAAAGACTGGAACTTGGAAGGACTACAGGCTCATATATACCTTCTTCTTCTCTCAATATTACACTAAACATTGAGAGATTCTATTCTTCTTGTTTGTTTGAGTGTAGGGAAAATGGTCTGCAGTGCTCATAAAGTGCTTATCCTTCTCATCTGTATGTGGCTATTAGCAGTTGAACCAGAAAAAGTTTGTGGCTTGAGAAACAAGGAACTTGTGTTCAGGCATCACCCCAAAGGAAGTGGAATAGCTAGCTCTCCCAAGAATCAGCGAATTCTTAAGGCTGCGGTTGACTTGGAAGGAATGAACACACAGCAGAACTCAGCACCTGTAAACAACAAATTTGATCCAAATCAATCAAGCAAAAGAAGAGTACGAAGGGGACCGGATCCCATCCACAACAAGGTTTGACACGTTCGTGTGGTTTCTTTAACAAGGAGGATGCACAAGTAAGTTAGCATTTGATGACTAAAAACAACTTCATATAACACAGAAAAACTACAAAGTGGGAAATCTTGGGAAATCTATTCACTTTCTCAACAATCTTTTATGAGAATTGGTTTGGTTTTGCCTATATTTTGTTTCAAGGGTTTGGCTATAAAGAGATGTGCATGATGAAGGTACTAAATGATAGTCCTGGAGGACACAGAGAGGAACATATATAATCTCTGTACTCTAAACTGACACCGCCATTCGCTATAGATGACCAAGAAGAAAACATAGTATTATGTTATTCTTTAATCTTCTTTGAGGCTAAGATCTATCCCTATTTGCAGATTAGCATAAAGTTTCTAGCAGGTCATTTATACTGAAATTCTTTTGTATCTTCAAGCTCTATAGCAAATGTTAGTGTGATGTAAAGAACATATTAATATACCTTTTTATGTTATATTTGATTCTATGAAACAACAGAGGTGGATCATATTAATCTCCACACACAACAAATGGCTACCACTTAAGACAGATAAACATTACAGATCAAAATTCAGATAGATGCTATCTATGCTTGTACCATTGGCTTGATGTAAGAATATGAACATTAATTACATTAAGGCTCTAGAGCAAATATTAATATTGTGACTTAACAATTTATAATGGTGTTGATTCTTGTGTGATTTTATAGTCTCAATCAAAGAGGAAATAATAATATAAAACTCACCTCTACAGGAAAATGCTCACCTTTAACGAAAAAAAAAAACCTATACTGGTTCCAAAACATAACAAAGCAAAATAACAAGAGTGGACTTTTCAATCAGCAGTAGAAAATTGTTGACCAAGGTTTGTGTTTGTGATGCAGACCCAATAAGTCTGGACTTTATTGGGTACAAGTGGTTTTTTTTTTTTTTTTAACAGTATTGGGTACAAGTATATTTTGTAATGCAGGCCCAATAAATTTAGATTTTATTGGGCACAATAGCCCAAAACCAAATTATAATCTTTGGGCTTTCATTGCTAACAATTTTCCCATTTCACACCACATTTCTCTCTCTCTCTCTCTCTCTCTCTCTCTCTCTCTCTCTCTCTCTCTTTACTTCGCACCACATTTCTCTTATGCAAAATTTCAAAAATAAAATAGTTAAAATGCATGTACTATTTTAAATTTACAATTATAATATGTTGTTTTATAATTAATTTTTTTATTTAAAGATTTACTTGTGACGCTACATTTATCTATTCATTAAATGACATGCTTTGATTGTATATTTAAAATTCACATGTGACATTATAATTATATTATTTTTGTTCAAATATATACTCCTTTCATTAATTTTTAGTAGACCTAGTTTGATTTTTTGATTTTTTGATTTTTAAGACATGAATTTTGGATGAAAATTTAACAATCTATATAAACAACAATTAAAATTTTTCTATCCATATATATAGTTCTTATTAAGTATTTTTATTTGATCAAAAAAATTTTCAATTGTTATTCATATAGATTGTTAAATTTTCATTTAAAATTCATGTCTTAAAAGCCAAAAAATCAAACTATATCTACTAAAAATAAAAAAAAGGAGTATTTATTAAGACATATCATTAAATAAGTGAATATATATAGTATCACATCTAGGCATTTGAATTAAAAAATTCAATTATATAATAACAAGTTATGACTGTAAATCTATAATGTCTTGTTTGTAAATATAATATCTCTAGACACTTAACCAATTACCTTAAGTTAATAAATTTTTTGACCTGTTGATACTTTCTTCTTATTATTTACAATAATAATGTGTTATTAATATAGAAGTAAAGAGAAAAAAAATAATAATCTCTCCACTCTATCTTAGGGCTTTTAAGGAAAATATTTTCCTGAGGTCCATAGGCCTAAATATTGTTTGTGCCCAAACCCTCCATACAGAAACTAATTATAGTTAACCATTTGGTTTGGGTTTAAAAGTCCCACCCCTTGAATAAATTATTGGTACACATTTAATTCAACACACTTTTTAACATCCATTAAAATTAGTCATTAAAAATATAATGTAAATATAATTGATTCAGTTAGTTTTTGCATTTTATGTGTATGGTTGTATTTTTAAATTTGTTTGCTTTTAATTTTAGGTCAAAAATAATAATTTTTTAATAGTATACTATGTTGTGTGTTGAATCAAAGTGCGTACAAATCACTATACTTTTTAGAGGTATTTAGTTTTCCATTGTGGGAGTATCAATTTGCTTGATTTTATTGTCGATGACAATTCTTATGAGTTTAGATGGCAGGCATGAGATGGAGATGAAGAAGGCTTTTATCTTACAAGGCTTTGGCAATTCTGGTGGGAAGGTGATGGTTGACTAGTTGGTTGTAGACTTGTAGATCTTTATCAAAAGCTTTCCCTTTAGAGTATAGGTGTGATGGGAAGGTTAAGGGATGCTCATTGGGTAGTTATTCTACGCCTAGCTCTTTGTTTGGGCACTATCAAAATGATTTGCTTGGGTCATGGAACTTTGATGAGGTGGTAGTGCTTGGAATGATTCTTTTATTCACATTGGGGGCAATGGTTTTAACTATGGTTGCAGGGTTGATGGCAAAGGAGAGCACATGCAAGATGAGGAGGGGGTTTCAAGCACAAGTGAAGGTGGATGTGATAGCTGAGTAGTGGTTGGAAATTTGTAATCTTCTACAAATCCTACAAATTTGGAGATAGAATTGGAAAGTTTCAATTCAAGCGTGATGGGATTCTTTTCCCTATAAGTAAGGCGCAAATCAAGAAAGTTGAGAAAAAGTAGGGAATTTTATTACTACTTTCATTTTTATTGAAATTGATTTAAATCGAGTGCATTTAGTTTTGAAAATTATAGAGTTTTCATCAAATGCAAATTTCCAATTTCTAGAATTGGATGTAAATACTTTTAGGGCTGGAAGCAGGAATTAATAGTAAAGTTTTATTCATCATATTTCTAATTACTGGAATTAGACATGAAACTTTTAGCAGTGGGAGGCAAGAATAAATGGTAGGTTTTTACCCATCTCCCCTAAAGTTTTATTCTTCTTTTTTGAAGATGGGCAATTAACGGGGGATGGTGGAATATATTTCATTGGTTGGGGACCAAAGAGCCCAAAGGAACAAAGCAAAGCATGTCCAATTACTAGAACTAGACACGAAAACTTTTAGGGCTGCAGGCAAGAATTAATGGTCGGATTTTACTCATCTCATTTCCAATTGTTAGAATTGGACATGAAAACTTTTAAGGCTAGAGGCAAGAATTAATGGTAGGGTTTTACTCATCTCTCTTGAAGTTTTATTCTTTTTTTTTTTCTTTTTTTCTTTTTGTTTTGAGGGGGATGGTGGAACATATTACATTATCTTGGTTTGGGACAAAAGAGCCCCAAGATACTAAGCCTTGATGGTGAACCATTGGGCCACATGGCATGGTTTGCTCTCCTAAAGCTTGGCATAATATATAGCAATGTTTACTAAGCGAAGATGCTCATGCCATGCTTTTGTTATTTATGTGACTTTGTATATATCCTAACAGTAATTGTTTTATAGTTTGTAAGATTATCTTTATTTATTATGGGCATAAATTTTTAACTTTAATTAATGTTGTAAAATGGCTTCTCTTAACTAAGGTGTCTTGACTCAAAAATTCATATATAATTTCCTTTTTTTCTTTCTTTTTTTTTTTTTTTTTTTTTTTT